TATTTACTTGTGACCACGCTGTGTACATTGTTGTATTGATGTTCAAGATTAGTTATGTTATATTTGTGGTTTAAATAGGGGCAAAAAATATATTCAAAAATAAATTCAACTAAAAAGAAACCGCTGTGGTATGATGAAATCGGAATCAAAAAGTGGAAACTTATACCACGAAAAGTGGCTAATGCGAAATATAAGTTTTAATAAACACGACGTTGCGGGCTGGGACGCCCTTTCTTTGGTGATTTTAAATTCTGATGGAACAGAATGTTTCATATTTAAAAAATTGTCAAACATAGAACGTTCGAAATTAACATCCTGCAACAGATTTAATGTAGCATACACGTGAAACACTGTTTGTTGGTGGTCGTTTTTAGGCGCAAAGCAACTAGGCTATCTGCGCAAAACACTGGCAAAACGATGTTTTTATAATACAATAGGAATATATATATATATATATATTATTAGAAATGAAAATAAGAATCCAAATAGGAATAATAATTTTAAAATTTTGAATTATTTTTTAATGTATTCGAAAAAATCAATAATACCAACAGGTAATTTGGTGTTTTGCATTGTTGTAGAGTAACAATGTCACGTTTCTAAAGTTCGAAATAGTTGATATTTTCAGATCTATTCATGTACGACAATACATTAAAGCATGTTTATATATAAGCATAACCGTGTAGTTACCCACAGTATATGATTATATTTGTCTTATTAAAATAGCTTGATTTTTTTTATTACTCTCATTATATAAAAGTTTTCTTAATTTAAAAATTTATAAAAGCTCCATCGTGTACTAGAAAATGGTATTTGGATTTAAAATAATTTTACATCGATCATGCAATGTAGTAGTAACGATTTCAGAGCTCTTCCCAACAGATGGTGCTATCAGCACTAATGGATGCTACTATAAGTTTTTCTTCAATATGGCGCATGTTCGGGACAGTGACACGTCGTTGTGGTTACATAATAAGCTTGGAACAAGTAATGATTTATGGTCAGGCGGGTCAATTTGTTCACAATTAAATCAAGACGTACTGAGGAACATAAGGGAATGCTTTATTGAGCTACAGTCCCAAGTAAAGTTAAAATTATTGTTGTCTTTTCTACATATTCCCCGGCGCAACGTTGATGAGGTAAGCTCAGCTTCTTCCTTGTTGAAGAACTGAAGTTTAACGTTAGAATCTATGTGAACTGAAGTGAAAGTGGCTATCCTGTTTATTCTAGTTTTACGTATAGTTATAATTCTCTTTTTGACATTATTGTATGTAAATTATGAACCTGTGGTATACGAAAGACGCTAATCTAATTATTTTCTATGCTATTACGAGTCACTTTTTGGAGGGAAATTTGTGGTATTGAAACTGAATGAGGCTCAAACTGAAAGTAATTATCATAAATGAAGTTTACCAAGCTAAAGTAAAGCCTAATATTATTGGTTGGCTGTCAACCCCTAGTAATAATAACATTTTGCGGGTAAGACTTACACAGCAGTATTAGTAGTAGTAACGCTATCACTTAAAGTTAAGTATAATAAGTTTGAAAACAACGACGTAGTGTAAGTGGTTGAATTATTTTTGCGTTCCCATTTTGATTGATGAAGGAAAATACGAAACTAGAGGGCGGTAAAGTTGTGATTCCTTAGTTTTAGTTGCTAAGTGTAGGGTTAGTTATTGTAAACATCATATCTTTACATAATTTAAGGAATATTGTAGCAACACCTTATTGGCTATCAATGAAAGTTTATCTAAACTTAATAAAGTTATTAATATATTGAATTAATATGCATTAATATTATAATCAAAAGACATTTTGTTCTTGTAAAATGAATAAACTAGTTTTACTAGACACTGAAGTAACAAATAATTTGATGACTAAAGTCAAGATATACTCATATAGTAAAATTTTGATGTGAGATTTTTTGAATATCTTGTATTTATTGATAGCCATTTATCACATACAAAGCTGTGTATTGTGTTTTATTTGTTTCTTAATCGTGTAGACTGAATTTAAATAGTTGCAAAAACACATCGATTGGATGAAGCATTAAAAATACACATATGTAATGTTTGACAGCTCAGTATAACTAACTTAATATACTCTTTATGATTATTTGAAAAAATATATCTGTAGACTAAAGTGAAGAGATTGAAAATATATCGCAAAATTTGGAACAGAAATATTTTATAGATGTTCTACAATGGAGGGTTGACATCATTGTCAACTGTTCACTACTTTTGTAGAAAATTCCCTGAAACATCATAGTTTGAAAAGTGTTTAACACTATCTGAAATCAACACTTGTCTGAAAGCACTAAACTATTGAAAAGATTCATAAGTATTTCTAGCAATTACATTTTATCTGTCCTGTCCTTGTAAGAACATCTTTTGGTTCTAACTTGTTGAAGTGATTAGTTCAAATGTACAATATCCATGATTTTATGGTTGGATATACATTAAATGATGGATTATTTTCTGAGTATTGAATTGTACATCTTGAGACTGTAAGACATACATGTACATATGTGTCCAAATTTTAAAGTAATTGCTAAACATTATAGCCAGTAGTTTTGTAGCGTGAATTACATTGTAACATTCTTCTAACAATTAATATAAGAAAATATACAAGCTTTCTTACAATTAGAGCAATTTTAATATGAAGTCTGGAGTCATGTACTAGAATAGATCAGAAATCTGGGCTTAAATGTGGGATTCATAATCTGATAACACATGCCAGCTGCCCTAAATCATGTATATGCAGGGACTGATCCAAGCATGTACAAAGGTAGTTTGTTTTACCATCATCTTAGCTCAGATAACTCTTGGAACTCTTTAGTTAGGCACCCGTATAACAAATCGGGGGAATAAGAAATCTTGCTGACCAAGGCTTGAACCTTGTGCTCTGAGACTAATGCTCTACCAACTGAGTTATAAGTCCCAAACAGATAACTCCAATCCTGATTATCAAAGTACTATAATATTTAGTGTTCCAGGACATGGCTGGCAAACCAGTCAGTCGAGTGGTCAAATACCGTCAACTAAGCTAAAACCTGAATTAAATACCTGTATATTAGCCAAGGTTTTTGATTAAATTTTAGGCCCCAAATTCCATCTTCAGCTTATAAATGAGTTTTGAAATTGCATCACTACTAACAGACCTCAAAATGGCCGAATGCTCAATTCTAAATGAAAAACTGTATGTATTATGTTGTGGCCTAATATTTCTTACCTCTTTATATATTTTATAAAATTACGTATATATATATATGTGTGTGTGTTAATGCATGAGTTTAATAGGTTCTTGCTCTTTATAGGTGAATGATGTTATACTATACCATATTATAATATCCTTTAATTTTATGCAGCCAACAGCTATGATTTTTAAATCTTGAAACATAACTTCATAATAATAGCATACTATTGAAAAAACAGATAGTTAGCTGGTACAATGACTGTTAATATCATTTATTTACAATAAACATTACAAAAATGGTAGCTGGCTTTGCTGTTGTAGGAAGGATAGAGGGAAACCATAAACTGTTTGAATCTAAGTTTCAAATGGACAGCAACTGTCTGTTGTAGAAACCTACAAATGTAGAGAACGATGTTTTGAAAGTCTTCCGCCTGAAGACGAA